GACAGGTCCGGGTTGGGGTTGGGGGGCCCGTGGGGGCCCCCCAGGCGGGGGACGCCCCTCCCGCCGTCGCCGTCGCTCTCCCGCGACGTCTCGTCCCACTCGAAGTCGGCGCTGCCCCCGCGCTGGCCCCCCCCCGGGGCGGGGGGTCCCGGGGGTCCCGGGCGGCCCTCGGGGAGCCCCTCGAGCTCCTTGGTGCGCATGGAGAGGTGGCGGGAGCAGAACCCGCGGCGCTGGGACTCCTTGGTGCAGCCGTCGCGGGAGCAGAGCCGCCGCCACTGCTTCCCGTTGAACTTCTTGCGGATGCCGTTGGGGGTGCAAACCACGTCCCCCTTCTTGTACTTGGGCTGGGGGGTCCCCGCCGGGCCCCCCCCGGGCGCGGGGGCGGGGTGGGGGGCGGCGGGAGCCGCGACTCCCCCCCCTCCCGCAACGCCGGGGGCCGGGCCGGGCCGCGGGGCCGAGCTGAGCTTGGACACCTCGGCGTCCTCGGGGCCGCGGGGCAGCGGCGGCTCCTCGTCCTCCTCGGGGCGCGGGGGGTCCGGGGGGCCCTGGGGGGGCCAGGGGGGCCGCAGCAGGCGCAGCCCTGAGCGGGGCACCCAGACGGGGGGCGCGGGGGGCGGGGGGGCGAAGCGCACGCGGTACGAGGGGGGCTTGGCGCTCACCTCCACCACCGTGCCCGGCCGGTACAGCGTCTCCTGCGGGTCCAGGCGGGCGCACACGGCCGTGCCCACGCCCAGCGCGCCCGCCGGGGGGGTGGCGTCCAGCACCACCTGGGGGGGGTCGCCCCACAGCAGCCCCCCCTCGAGGAAGGTGATGCCGCGGTCGCCGGCGAACTGCACGCCCAGGTCGTGGCCGCGCCGCAGCTGCTTCACCACGGCCGGCCGGAAAACGCCGTCGCGCCGCGCCAGGACCCGCTGGCACCGCAGCCGCCGGAACGCGGCCTCGGCCGGCCCGGGGGGCGGCCCCGGGGGGGGCCCCGAGCCCGAGGGGGGGTCCCCGGGGGGCCCCGAGCCGCCGCCCCCCCCCTCGTCGGCCGAGTGCTCGCTGGCCGTGTCGGTGCTGGAGCAGCCGCTGCCCTCCCCCGGGGCCGGGGGGGGGTCTCCGGCCGGGCCCGGGGGGTTCGGGGGGGGGTC